TTAATGCTACGTATGTCTAGGTAGAGAATTCATAGAGCACAGGTTTATCTCCTCCGTATGCGACTCTGGTACCGGGTTAGGATAAGGGGCACAGTTGGGAAAGATGAAAGGCTGTTCCTTGTTCATACAGAAATTCCACAGGGACTTCTTCAACTTACCTGCGTTAGAGCTGTTTGCCGCGACTGCTTGACTTCTTCATAGCATTAGACACCGATTCACCGAATGATTTTATGTTAAAGGAGCCTAGCAGTAACTGCGTTTCTAATGCCGTTCCCCGTGAAGAAACGGCGGTCATGACTGTGGCAAGGAAGTATCAGTGGCAGGTGGGTCACGGCCGATTCTTGTGTTCGTGCAAGATGACTCTGGGCTTGGAGATCACGGAGCAGCTGATCCTTAATGACTCACTGTTGAACTTTCTGCTCCTAATGGTTTCAGCATAAAAATTAACACCCTGCTGTGGATATTCTAATCCACATACTAAAGCATGGGGTTTCTTAACATCTGGCCATTTTCTATTTTGACATTTATATGGTATCTGCATAGCTTTAATTTGGAGATAACAAGTCCTGAGGGGCACTTTGTTTCCCCAGCCTCGGAGATCACACTGCACATGGCAGAGGACAGTGTCTTTTGGATCTGGCTTCTAAGTGTCATTTTTAGAAACAGATCCTTTTGCGTTGTCAAGCTTTAGGGTCACTTGCAGTTCTAGCTTGTAACTCATATAAAATATCCTCTTGGTATTCGATCACTGGCTTGTTGGGTGCTCGTGGCACCAGCTGTGAAATGCATAGAATATTCTTTCATTATAGTACTTCTGTGTCAGATAACAAGATTAGATCGATCAATCGATCTGTCTGTAGATAGATACATAGATAGCACTTTTCCTTCCAGGTTTGGAAATGCCTTCAGATAATGATTGTCAGCCCAGTATGTGTTTAGGTGGTATTGCTGCAGTGAGTACTGTGGGCTTCCCCTTTTTAGATTGCTTTGATTTTTACTGTATAACCTAATTTATTGGAAAAAATATATCTATCTATCTATCTATCTTTTGTGTTATACTTATACCACCTTTAGACCTTGTTAATGGGATACCAGAAAAATCAAACATGGTCACCATGGGTGTTCCTTAGAGCGTTTGCACTTCTGCAGGTCTTAGACCAGCAGAAGGATTTTTGTAGCTGTGTAGACCCTACACAGGTTGTTCTTAACTTTGCAGACAACGCAGGCAGAAAAAAGCCCCAAGAAACTCATTTGACATAGGTGAAGTAAACTGTGAGTATGATGATACACAGAAGGCTGCAGTTGCCCTGTTTCTAGGTAGAAAAGAAAGCCAGGTGTGATATTGGTTTGGTAGAATATTCAGGTTGCTTATTAGAAATCGTTCAAGTTCGTAACAGAGTACGAGATGAGGTTGAATAAAATATTGTAATCTTATTAACAAAATACAAAATAATTGTGTAAGTTTGAAATAAATGGAAATGAATGATCAGACTAAATTGTGAAACATCGTGAAGGGTTAGCCTGTATGTTTAAGAAATGCTTGGAAGTTGAATATGTAGAGGAGGCAAAATAAGACCAAGGAGGCCTCTTTACAGGTTTGATTTTTTTTTTTTAACGTTTCCAGTGAAGGATGTTTCTGGACACCGTATCCCTCTTTCCTGTCAACCTTAGTTAAAGATGAAGGGCAGAAGCCTTACTGGAAGCCACTGGTTCTGGATTTTAACGAAGCAGAAATTCTGCTTCTTCATTTCTGTGAAAAGACATCTGCAGTGTCTTTGTGTAATTTCAGTGCTGATAGTTAGGAATCAATCTAACAAAAATCACAATTTCGTTTAGGCCCTAACGTATTCTGATATCAGCAGTATACTCATCAAATTCTCTGGGTTCTTGTGTCATCATCAGGCTCTGCCCACAAGGGCTTTTTGCATGTTTGGACCTTTCATTCCCTCCA